GTGTAAAGCGTTTTTTCGTTCTTTCTTTTCCCAGCACTTCAATCGTTAAGTATGAAATGGAAGAAGAAAAAAGGTTGGAAGAGTTTTTTTTTTTTTGAGAAGAGAAGAAGTCAATAAAGGTGTTCAGTTCATGTATAGGTATGCACATTAAGTTCAGCAAACCATGGGTATACGTATAAAGTTCCTCCTCCCTTTCCCCATCGTTTGAAGGAAAAGCAGAACAACAGCTCAATACCCAACACTATTCAAGGATTGCAAGGCAAGGAAAAAAGAAACCCACGCGTCGGCTGGTTTTGAACTCATCCACACTAGCTGTCCATTACGGCTTTGTCGATTCTCCGCTTCTTTCCGCCACGTGCCCCAACCAAGCCGTTGGGAGGATCCATAATCTCATCGAGATGCACCTCCCCGCCCTCACATCCACACACCATGGCCCGCTTTCCTACACTCCGAGCTACTCTCTTGGCGGCGACTCCTTCTAGCTCGGAAAGGGGTCCCAAAAAAAATAAGACCTCGCTGTGCTGTTGCAGATCAACATAACCAATGAAAAGAGCCCCGAACTGGGTTCCATGTCGAAGTAGATACCCATACTGGGTGGTAAGCACATGATAGATTTTGCATGAAGAAGGACAGGCACGCTTCAAGCTTTCCCGTTGCTCGCGCACAAGCTCACTTGAAAGACACACTTGCCAGCCATTTTTGGGGGCATCCAAAATTAAAAATTCGAGCTCTTCAATGCTTAGTTTCCACCCAATACCCTTTTTGAAAAGCTGTGGATAGGTGCGTCGTAGTACAGGCAGCAAGTCATTTGCACTCTCGAGATCGCTCTCTTCAATTTCGTCGATTAGAAAAAGAGGTCCGAATACCTTTGAGATGGTGATTTGCTTTAGAGACATTGGAAGTCTTTCCTTCACATTATGAAAGAAAGATGGCCTGTCCGAGACGCGATTGTATTTATGTGCGCTAAAACTATTCTAAGCAGAAAACATGTCAACTGCACCAGGGAAAGAGTCAAATTCAATCATCCTCATAATAAGAGTGATGTGTATTTTTAAATGTTTCCGAATTGGTGTATCCAATAGAAAAAAAATAAATGGACATACAGTTCGATATGACTTTTCAACTCCCTCTCACTACTGATATAGGATGACCATAAAAGATCCTCGCTAGTTCCCTTCCCCTCACCACTGTCGTTTACACTCGACTGGCAGTGCCACGATGGAAAGAAAATCATTGGATACTATATGCAATTACGCATCAAGGCAAGTCAACCTCATCCGCTGCATGACTTGCTGTCTACAGAGTGTTGATAAATACGAAATAAGGTGCAATAAATAGATGTCACCAAACTCACCCTCTGCCTGCTTTCCTTTGCAGTCCGTGAGGGAAGAAGACGAAATACAACTTCCTGTCGCGCACAATGCGCCCCCCTGCTAAGGCAACATGCAACAACAACAAAAAAGAATCCAAAGTAAGGCACTATTCGGTGTTGAGGACGATAACGTTTGATCACCGTTCTGGAGCAACCGGAACAGAAGCAAGAGGAAGCGAAAGGGTAACATCTACGCCATGATCGGACTCGTTCTCCCTGTGCTCTGCTGGCGTCGCGGGTTCCAACGGCCCTGAAAGATGGGTCGGTACTTCATCTTCGATAAATCAAAGACGATGCCGTCCCGGTTGGTAACATAGCGCTCCTGATCGTACTCCACCGGATCCGACTCCGGCTGCCCCGCACGCCGCTCCTCCATCATCTTCGTCCAGCGCGTGTAAGTTTCCCGATCCATGCCAATAATCCGCCCCGTCTTAGGGTCCTCCACGATGATCTCGTCCTCGTTGCGCTCATGGGCAAACTTGCACACAGGGATGCTGGCGGGCTCCCATGGCATGATATCCAACTTGGGCGAGTCCTCCTTGATGGGCTCCGGCCCGCTGCGGAGCGCCTTATTTAGGCGCCGCTCCAGCGGCTCGCCCATCGGCCGCCCTTGGATCTCCCGCATCGTGTTGTTCTCGACGTAGTCCTCGAGGGTCTCCTTGGGGTACCAATGGTAGTACGACGGGAGCTTTTCCCACTCGACCTTCTCGCCGGGCTCCAACATCGGGCGCAGCTTCGTTCCGCTCGTCCCGGGCCGCACAAGCCGGCCGTCGCTGAGTTGATGATAACGCGGCCCGATGCCCGTCCCTTGCATGTGGCGATACCGCTCCGCCACGCGGTTCTCCTTGAACATCGTGGAAGAGAATTGACGATGGGGTGGGATGCCAAGCTGCGTATCCGAAAGCGAGAACATGTCGTTCTCGATGAAGTCACCGAAGCATTCAACGCCGTAGCCGTTCGTGGGCACCGGGTTGATCACCGCCAACGCGGCGCGTCGGGAAATGGAGAGCTGAACACCAAAGTGCCCACAGGCCTGGGGAGTCGTAAGGCAGTGGATAACAGACCCACGTTTCTGAAATGCGATGCGCAGCTCCTCGTCAATGAAGTGGAGGTTTCGACCCGTTCCGAGAAAAATCACGTCGGGCACCGGATATAAGTGAAGGAGGATCGCCATGGTGCGCTCATTCACCTCCTCGAAACTACTCACATTCCAGTGGTAGTAAGCCTTCTCGGTCACGATGCACGATCCGATCACCTCTTTATCGTTGACAAAAACACTGTCCGGGGAGTATGCGGTAATCCGACGCTTCGACATCCCTCGGGGCTCCTCAATACGATTCGCAAATGGATTCGCAAAATACTGAGTGGCCATCTTTTCCTCGTTATAAAAGCGCTCCTGTCCTTCGCGGGTTTGAAGAGAACTCCCACTCGCGGAACGGCCTGATTCACGCTGCCGCTTCAACCACCGCGCGAGCTCCGCGCTGTCTTGTGGCCGGTAATCCGGTGTGAGTTTGAATGGATCGTACTTGGGGTCGCTCGGATGAGCCCTACGGCGCTTCTGAGAATCCTGCGCGGCTAACTCGATGCGTTTCGACTCCGCGGCGAACTTACGATACTCGGCCTCATTCTCGACTTGCAGCTGGCGACGCAGCAGTGCGAGCTCATCATCCATCACGTAGTCCTTCTCTTCGGGCAACTTAATCTTCTTGTTCGCAGACTCCAAATCCATGTACGTCTCGCGTGTTCCGACCCCCAAAAAGGGGAAACCGTCCTTGGTGGTATGCAGGTTTTCTTCCCTCACCACATCCTCTACTATAACGCGCTGATCCCTAATCCACTTGCGGTCACGCTCCACCATGTAATCCTCGATCGACTGTCCTGGACGAATGCCAATGCGCACGCTGCCTTCCTGTTGTTGATGCGATTTCGCGTAGGACTCTGCACTTAATGGGAGCTCCGTAAGGGGATTGTCGCGTGGATCGGGCACATATTTTCGAACAAAATGTTGGAGCCATACCTTCGCGCGCAGCTTCCACCCATTCTTTTTACTATCGAGAAGCAAACGATACCTTTTCATACGGCTCTTTGTTTTACAAAAATAACAAAGCCAGGTTAACCCTATGGATGTACTTTCTCAAGATTTCTCTTTAATTTGGGAGTTGACAAAGGTAGGTGAGGAAATGCATCATCAATAAACACAACATATGATATCATCTACGTTCGATTATACTCCTTTGGGTGAAACATCAAGTCGTTGAAGGATTCTCTACGATTATTTGCTTTATCGTGAATTGGCCATCTCATCGCCGCCAGATGTAATAAAAAAATGTGGGAAACTCGCTTACAGTAAGAGGGCGAAACAAATCACCATCCAGTGTGTTTTACAAAGAGACCGAAAGGGAATCTAAATGGATTAATTCTTTTAATTACGTGTGCGCCCCTCTCATGCCACCGCAAGCTTGCAGTCCATCATAATCATTGTTAGAGTGGCTTAGGTTCTTGGACAACCTCTAATCCAGAAATCTTAGGTGACTAAGCGGCACATGTTATTAGACAGTAACAGACTCCTCGAGTGTAGCCAATTGGGCATCCGTCAGCCTAAGAGCCCCACACGCTTCATAACGGGGAAGAACAACAAAACAGCGCTGAAGAGCCTCCTCAGCGGCTGGGGCGAGAATCACAACCTCGTCATTCTCCTCATCGACGTAGCAAATGACAAAAAAACCCGCCACCGGTGCGAGCGGCACCTCCTCGATGATTTCTGCGTGGGATAGTGCACAGACTAGCCGGCGCAAGGCGGGCGTCGGATAGACCCTCTGAACCCCGACTCCCGAAGGGTTTTCCGAATCGCCACCGACGTACTTGACAAACTGCAATGATTTTGTCGGCACCACCAACTTAGAGCACCCTAACATTGTGGTGTTTGGAGATCCAACGAAGTACTCCGCCATCCGAAGATCCGTTGTAGGGGATGCGCATGGATGAGAGCAAGGCTGCGTGAATGTAAACTCGCAGTCGGGTAAAATACGCTGGATGTCTTCCTGGAGAAAAGTGAACCAATCCTCACCCGCATCATCACGACTACTAACGATAACGACATGCGTTGGTTTAACGATTTCAATGATCTTCTTGTAAAACACATCTTTTTTTAAATCTGGCAGTGGTGATGGAGCATCTAAAATGATATGAGGTCTCTGTGGCGCCGGACATTCCTCTTGCAAATAAGCAATGCAAGTGTCGTAGAGCTGCTCACAAAAGTGAATGAAGGCAGAGACATCTTTGGCAGATGGGGACATTACAGACCCGGTATAAAACGAAACCGGCAGCATCATTGGAGATGCCGCGCTTCCTGGCCATAAAGGATCATCGCGAACTTCCACAAACGAAACGCATCCTGGACTGTAGACACAATTTGACTCTGGGTTAAGATCAAGCAGAAAGTATCTATTTAATGCATTATCGTCCTTCCCCATTCTATAATCTCGCAAGAGGTTGATGATCATGTGTGCCGCGAGCGATTTTCCACTGCGCTTATTTCCTATCACAAGGACCTTTGATGTCTTCAAAGGAACTAGCGTTCGACGTGTGAACTGAACTAAAGGCACGACCCCTGATGGGTGCCTAAAAAAATTCACAGCCTCCTCACTCGCAACGTTCGCCGAGCCCCCCTCTAGGGTGAACAGGATAATGGACTCTCTTTCCAGGTGTAAGTAGAAAGAGTATGGACGATTTGCCTCGAGCAATACCCCAGCGAGGTGTAAAACACCAGTGAGTAAAGTAACAGTAATTGGTCCATTCCCAGCTATTGTGCACTCCTCACCCGCGCTGAGTGTTAAACGACGCTGGTACTTAGGAATCATATCTCAAGAATGGTTTGTTTGTCTTTTGGTATTCTATCAAAATACTAAAAAAAAAATGCGGTGTTGTGGGTATATGAATCTCTTTAAGTGACTCTTTTGATGAATTTAACGTGCTTACTGCACGTAGTGATAAATTCAATCCCTATAGGAATTCACTATCGAGAATGACGCCTCTTCAGTATCAAATATGAAAAGAGAAAAGTCGCTATGGATTCACTTTTTTAATATCAAAAAAAGCAATGATTTTTAACTCTGTGTAACACAGTAGTCCATACTAATGTATCAGAGCTCTATTCTGAGTTCATATACTGTAATATTTGTAGCATTGGTAAAGGTATTAACCCATAAAATGATAGCGAAGAAAAGACCTTTCCATCAAAATCACTTCCGCGGAGGGAATGTTAAGGAGGATAAGGCAGAAGGATGAACAAAAACATGCATTCCAGCACAAAAATAGGCCTCCATATCTTTGCATGAATGAGGCAAATATAACCCAGAGCCGTTCACCGTATCTCACCATCGTACATGTCACCTTGACAAGGTGTCAAAAGAATAACTAAAAGCACGCTGTCCCCCACTTGCAAAACGTATTATATCCACAAGTTCAAATAAACACGACTCAAAGAAAACAGAAAAAAAATTATGAAGTGCTGTAAAGCATTCATACAATGTCTCCATAAATTGGGTTGCTAAGGTGGACTTTTTTGTCTATAAAATAATGGCATATTTTCTTTATAACTCAAACCTGACCTTTTCTTGAACACCTTTTTTATGATTTTTTTTGCTCATTTTTCCCCATAATATAGCAAAGACCACAAGCATCTTACCTTCCTGTTGATACAATAATATACTTGCAATTTCTTTTTTTTATGTCGAATTCATAAAAATACTAATGAAACTTCCCTCAATCCTCTCTCTAAGGGTGCAATAGCTTAAAGATTTCGCATGGGAAAAAAGAAGATCACATTTTCTTCTCAATATCCTCTATGCGAAGGAAATTTAGAAAGTCTATGAACATACGACATCAATCGAAAAGAAATAAAAATGCACAACAATTGAACGCAACGGCTTAAAAGTCTGGATTTGGGATTTATAATAATAAGTCTTAAGAAAGCGCATGCTACCTATGATACCTTTTTCTATTATGATATCCCTATTGCACGTAAGTTTAATTATCATCTCCTCATTCCCTTAATTACAATATTTTGAAAATCTGTTTCATGAATGGGAGAACAACGGTGATGTGAAAGCGCAAAAAAATTACTTTTTTGATAGCATAAACGCCCGAAAATAATCAAAATGAAAAATATCCAATCAACTTTCGTCAGTTAAAAAATGGCCTAAATGTGTCTTACACATTACTTATTTCCATTATCTGGATACTCTGTTATCAGACGCTTAAACGGTGAAAATCATAGATTTAGATGGGAACAAGGAGGTTCTGTTGCCCAAGTGGGCACACTGCACGCAGCCCGCGCGACGACCGACGTACTCCCGCTCTCCATTGGACACCCCAGCTTCAGAAGTAGCTCCTCCGCGATATACTCCATATCGCATGGGAATTGTTTGAATGCGCTAGTGAAAAGCTTATGTGCGTCTTCATTCGCATGCACAGGACACAAGAGAGCAAGTACATCGTTCTCAAGCAGTGATAGCTCATGTCGCTGAAACCATTCATCCCCTTTGGAGAGAAACGATAATTTATTATTCCGAAAGACGCATAAAACGCTGTGGCCTTGCAAATAGACGTGAGTGCGCGGTTTTAGTAAGCCAGGTGTAGGGCACCTCGGAGCGATGCTTTGGGAAGACGCGCCAGGAGCCTCTGAAGGGCCTGAAGAGGTTAAGAATGGTAGAAGCTCCGAGGCAACAGCCGCATAGGAATCCGCTGCTCGGCACGATAGCAAGCGCTTACCACAGAAAAAAAACGGCTCAGATGCTGTGCTTTTGACTGCACGCTCGGCAAAATGAAGCCCATCAGAGTGAGGGGCAAAAACACCCTTGACGCTGGAAAGCGGCTTTTCTAATGTGCGTGCCGTACGGGATATAATTGTTCGGAGAAGCATAATAATGTTCCTTAAATATTTAGATTTACACTTTTAATGAAAACTAGTTATTATGCACAAGATTTAAGAACATGTACTGATGTATCCAAATGGCTGCTTTTATTTCCTTCTATATTGCTGATAACAGATCCAGAGAATAGTATTTAATGCTCCAAAAGAGACCCATGAATCATTATTTTGTGAATAGAAAGCTAAGTGGAAAAGATCCTCAGGATAATAGAACAGTATTTTTTTATTCCCTTACGTTGCCTCAGTTTCTCTGTTTCCTTCTTATTCCCAAACAACCACCATAAGTCAAACCCATAATTGGCATGTTTGGAGGGAAAACCTTGGTATTAGGGTTCCTTTCATTGACTAAACAGACTTGGAAGATCTCGACGAAAAACGGTGAAATGTTCCTGCGTTGGTTGATGTTAATATCAATTGTGCTTTAGAAAGATCCCTATTGTGACATATTCTTCAGTGTCTCTTCGGCCGTCTTTAGCGCAACCACATCAGATGAGGTTAAACCAACCGCACGGTCCTCCCTAGCTAAGATGCCACGTATACACTGTAAAAGATGTAGAATACAGACCGAGCGCTCTTCCTTGGGCATCCGCTTGATGATCGAAATCAGTACCTGTACAGTATTGCTGAGCGAAAAGCTTGTGCTCCCATAGTCATGCACCAACCGTGATAACGCGCCGAAAATAGAAATAGGAGGTACTTCATTTGCAAGCAGCGTATTCACAATTTCTTCAACTCCCTTTCCGTCAAAAGAAAGAAAAAGTATAATCGGATAAACTGGGAAACTTTCTTGAAAATACGGTAGGTACTCGTGCAATACCCGTTTAGCTGATTCCTCAGCGTTTAGCCCTGCCGCTTTCAGAAATGTAACCATGCCAATGAGAGCGCGCGAAACGACCTCTTCGGACGCTCCCGAGTTAATTTTGAGGATGTCTAACTCTACACTGGCCCCGCCCAGCGCATGATAGCGGCCAGCAATCTCAAATAAAACCCTTCCCTCTAAGCAATGCTGCTGAAGCAAGGACACGTCCGACTCAATGACAGATCTCGCACAAACAAAATCGCCCGTATAGCTACTCAAATGGGTCTCCAGTAACTCGACCAATTGTTTTTGGAGAAGTAAAAGGAACTGCGTGAGCTTATCTGCATCTGATGAGGCATTTTGAAGGGCATGTTCAATACAAACGAGACGGGCAGATAAGGGGACTGCCAAAGGTGCACGGGCAAGCTCACCAAACAACTTTGCGGCAACAAGATTATTACCCTGTGCTTCTTGGCTACAGCAGTAGAAAAAACGTCCTGACGGGGTACTGGAAAAGTTCATATCTTTCCGGTACTCCGCAGCTAATGAGGCAAAGATTTCAATACGCTCATCGGTGAGATTGTGCTGCTCCATCCAACCAAAGACAACATCCCACAGCTGAGGTAAATCGTCTGCGTCAAAGATACATTTTAAGTTTCTCTTTAAGGCACCTCCAGACGTTGGAAGACTTTCCAATTTATTGAGAAGTGTGTTGGTAACTGATGGATCCAAGCGGTAGTGTTCCAGTAGGAGGTGGGTTGTCGGCAAAAGCTCCGAGCTTGCACCTTCAAGTAAATCACAAACATATTCAAACAACACAAACTTCAAAACGTCACGCATTCGCTCCTTTGCGACCTTCAGAGCCTCTTCCGGCTTTCCACGCTGCACCCAGGAATGGATGCGCACCGCCAGTTGTGCTTTTGGAGGCAGCAACTGGATCTCATGAAGCAGCTTCTCGGTCATCCTGAGATCCCCGCAGGAGAGCAAGTCGAATGTATAACGCACCTCAAGGTCCATGGGATCATTATCACGGAGCGCCTGCGAGAGCGTGCCGCTGAACAACTCGGACTTGCCAGCCTCAATAAGAAGCATATAGAGCCACGCGAGAATGCTCGTGTGCTTGGCAAGGTCTAATAAGGTACCAAGATACTGGGCCTGGGCATCAATGGCAATGCTCTGCGTAATCGGATGGTTGGCACGGGCCTCAAAGCAGGACCATTTGAGATGGTGATCAGTCGCACAGTCTAGCCAACCACCCTGAAGAAGAAATGCGGAAAGCGCAGTGCAACTGTGCAATAGACGCTGCCTTGACCGATTAATATCACTTACCTGCTCCCAGTACGAAGACGAGGAAGAGCAAATCTCATTCATCTTGTCCATTTCTGTTGTTATAAAGTTGGTAAAGCCAATCGCTGCCGGGGAAACACGGAGAGTTGAATGATCCTTTACAACAGGAAGTAAAAGAGCATTCAAGCTGCTCGACATCCTCTCCAACGAAAACCCGCCTAGCGCCGCATCGATGAGAAGCTCTGCGTAATATTCGGGACTAAGCTTAGCGAGCAACTTTTCACCCTCTATTTTTGAATCTAAATATTTTTCCCTCATTAATTTACTCAACGAAACTCTCTTCAGACTCATGATGGACGTGCGATCGTTATAAACCCAAAACATCCCACGATCGGAGGCACCTGGATTCCCTTCAAAACTCAGACTACACGCCTTTTCATTGAGGCTAATTTGGGAAACAACATCTGCGCGAAAATTTGACTTTTCATGCAATGGCAAAGGCTGCACATTCTGAACTATTGTAATCAGTGACATCGTTAGCTCATCGTACATAATAATAGTGTTGGCACCAGTGCATGCATGGGAAACACTTATGGCACTGATACTTGCAGGTAACTTCACCACTTGCTGGGCCTCCATGCAAAGCGCGGACGGACTTAGTAACCCCAGTCGCGGCCTCTTAGAAGCCTCGCGTACCAATACAGGCACACGGTCACCAGAGCGCAGAACCACTATCGCCACAGCTCCCTTAGCATTACAGGGGAGGACGGCCACGGCTTCTTGTCTCAAGTCCAACGAGCATTGAACGCGAAATTCTCCCTCTTCGATACATGCCCATAGTGAAAGGTCTCGGTCAGAAAGTACCATCAGGTAGCCGGTGGCTTGATCGAAAAAACTGTCCCTATGGGTCCTTCTCGAAAAAAGACTGGAGGCCATCGTACGCCAGTTTTCGATACCCTTCCACATGGAGACATCAAGTTCGTCACCGAACAGCTCAACAGACAGAATTTGCACAGTGCAGTTTTCGTAACAAAGTCCAAATAGATCTTTCTTCAGGCGATGAATTCTTGATACCGATGTGCTCGTGGGTGTGTGAAATGTTTTTCTGATATAGTACTGATGATCTTCATGGCGAATCAATGCGGTGAAAACACCCTTTGCCAGGCCAACTACTACAAGTAAAGATCGACTGCTAACTCTTTCGATATATGCATCATTAATCGCGCAACCGAAAGGGGGAAAGGAAAAGGGCTGCTGGTTCTTGTCTACAATAATTATCCGTCGGTGACACAACAAAACATGGTAACCGTTCGTGAAAAGCACCCTTCTACAGGACTCACCGAACGCATTCACAAGGCTTGGATCCCACAGACGCCAGAAACTCGTGCGTACGTAATAATTAGACGAAATTGGTCGCGCTACAATCTCCTGGGCACACCCTCTCTCCATGCTATTTGACACCTTGTATGATGCAAGTGCTTCCCTTAATGACATTATGTATAATGGTTCTTGCACCCAGAAGACTCTTGATAAAATAAACCACATATGATAGAAACATGGGGGAACAAAAGTATTTTTTCCATCACCTCATCAAAATTAGGCGCTATTACTCACTGAAGCAATTGTTATTGCTATTGTTATCATGGCTCTTGAGAAAGGAGAAGAATTCATTTTCAAATACATGAAGCATGTCACATCTCATAGAGATAGGGCCTAGCTTTATGTCTACTTGCAAAGTTTTACTATTTCGAAGCACTATGTGCTAAAATACGATGGACTTCAGCACGAACACTGTGAAGTAAGCTTTCCATCTCCGAGGCCTTCTTCTTTTCGTTCAGGCACCTTCTATGTAACTCCGTTTCAATCCCAAGACAAGTATCTTTATCCCCCGATTGCAACGCCTTTAGATACGACTCAAGGTATTGCCGCTCCTCAAAGACCACATTTCTTCTTCGTGAAGTTATCTGTGGAAGCATTTCTGAGTTGCAGCTTACCTCATACTCGAGAAACTGTTTTTCCGCTTGGAGAAGGTTGTTATATTGACGAAGCTCTTCTAGAGTAGTCGATGCCTTCAAGGGTGAACTGCTTTCCATTAAAAATTATTTTATTCTGCTATGTGCAATGACATTTTGGGGGTATGGTATAGCATACTACTTTGAGAGAAGTCACAGATTGCCATTTTACACAAAATCACACCTCGCAGAATACAAAAACATAATCTTCAGCAAAAATGACCCATAATTTGATTAGTATCTTTATGTTTCATGTTGATTTTAATGAAAATCAGAAGTTTACCAGTTCCAGTGCTGGATGTGAATCCAAGGATGATAATGTTTGTCACTCCTTTCTGCAACCGTCACACGATATATTTGCATTTAATTATATGCACATATATTTTCTATATTATATAGTCTTCAGTTTGATGTATTACACCCTCTAAATAATAAAAACAAATAAAAATCCATTAAATTAAATATTCAAGTGAAAAATAGAATGTCCCATTAAGATCAATAATAGGATACTATTGATGTGTACACCTACCTGTCATGATAAATGATAATTTTTTCAAAATGTTCCCGGGCTGAAGGATTTTGAGCCCTTTTAATAATAGAGAAATGGAATAGATAAAAAAATCAAAGCTTTGGTCAAATGGCGCCCACGCATCACAAGTCTCACGCTTACCTTATTTCAGTCAACTGCTATCTTAGATAGTCTAAGTTAGGATCCACTCCCACAAATAGAAATAGACAACTATTGGCGATCCAACTGTTCGTCTACTCACAAGTTCTATGGCAATGCCTTCATGAATAACTAGCTATTAGGTTTCAAAGATAACGTGTAACTGTAGAGCAAAGTTTTCAAATTTCCTCAACTAATGCTTACGAATATCCTGAGTGAATCGAGAAGCAATGGGGTTAGTCTTCCGGCACGGCTCATGATCATATTCATTTAGACCTGCTTTAGACAGAGACTACTTTGTGTTTTAATCCCAATGACCCTAGCCCTTTCACAAATAAAAAGTTCGGCAAAACTAATCGCCACCACAACCTACTCAAGGTGGAAATTTAGGAGTTATCCCCCCTCAAGTGGTCACATCACGTTATTCGCGTGAGGACATCCATTACGCGGGGATTCTATCTTACCGGAAAAAAGTTATTATTGAAAAAAATTCACAAACCAATCACGAAATGACAACTATGTTCAGCCCTTCAGATAGATATGAATAATATTCTTACGATACAAGCTGCGCATCATCCTTTTATCAATGTGATCTCTTGTTAATTTGAGCTATATTTTTCACCCTAAAAAGGGAATTTGGTAAGATAAATAGATGGAAATCGCATCAGGATAACGTGCATTAATCCTTTACTTCCTCCTACTTGGCGGCCAGATTTACTAGCACTGAACACACAAGACGCATGTGTGGAATATTAGCCGGGTTACCCACGGTGTAAATTGAATGTGTCTCGCTCAATGAATTCATCGTTGGCAAATTAGAAACGAGTTCAATATTAAAGCTGATGTATGCCCATATGCCCTCTAAGTTGATTTTAAGCAGAACAACAACAACAAAGGCATATTGAGGTCGATCAAACTAGGTTCATAGTCTTCCTCAGATGATATGAGGGTAAAGAAAATGGGGCTCTATCAGAAATGAGTTCCTTACATGTGAAAAGCCTTATTGAAATAAATATTCCTATTATGAGAATTTTTTTCAAAATTAAAATGAAATTAAATAATAACAAAAAAAAGATCCATAGCATACATATTTTTTTGAGCATAAATACCAGTTTGCCGAAACAGTTTTTTGGGGGGGGGGGAATTATCGTGGGAAATAGATTGCAGCACATCATTGAATGCGCGTATATACAAAACAATATACATAAATAATTCAGGTTGGAACAAGAAGCGAGCAGTAGTATATTTAGATATTTATCTAGAAATTCCATTCGTCAGCAGCAATCCGCTTGAAGTCTTCGAAATTTAATTTCCCATCACCATCTGTATCCGCCTCATTAATCATCTCGAATGCCTCCTCAGATTTTAAAGGACAGCCTAAACGTTCCATCACAAGTCTTAAATTGGTGGCTGATATGTAACCGGTGTTACCTAAATCATAAAGCTTAAATACTCGCTTCAATCGAAGCTCTTTTTCCTCAGGGTCATTAAGATGAGCCGCTACAAGAGTCAAAAATTCAGGAAAATCGATCATACCATTCGAATCAGCGTCCGCATCGACTAAATTTTGCGCAATTTTTTGAGGGCTTACATATTGCCCCATTGAGGCAAAAATACGACCTAAATCCTCTGCGGTGATATTTCCATCACCATCTGTATCATATGATGAAAATACTTCTCTGAGATTTGTAATTTCTTGCAAACTAAATAAATCAGCCATTTGGTGTTGATTTAAATGACCATCCACTCCTTACCTTTTATTTATTTGAAACAAAAGAAGTTATCCTAATAAAATTAATATAATCCCAATAAATACATATTAAAAAACCATCTAAAGGCGTAAATTAATGTAATTTTTTTTTTGAAAATAAATAACACAACTAGTCGCAATTGATAGAAAAGCAATTTTCAAGATAAAAATTCACTCTAAATTCTGTAATACACAAATTACTATTCATGCTTAGTCTGGTCAGCTGCATCTTCAATCTCATCTTCATCCTCGAAGCTATATAAGCTGACTTCGTCTCTCTGTTTTTCTGTGTGAATTCTCGAGCGTAAAACAGGATTCCAAAGTTTATCGTCCTCTATGCTTCCCATTAAAGCACTACTTATTTCCTCATCGTGAGGAGACATTGTTAAATCAGCCTCCGTCGGAGCTGGCATATCATGTGCATGAACAGGTGTTCCTCCTTGCATCCCAGTTTGAATATTTTTTAGTGAATTATACGTTACTTCTTTTCTGTCCATCATATTTGCACCAAAAATAATTTCATCCTCATCTCTTTGCAAGGCTTGCAGCTCCTTCATCTGCTGTGATCTACGATGAGCCCATACACGCTCCTCATGTGTCGTTTCCTCCCAGAAATTATTGTATGGTTTTGGTATCAAACTTTCATCTATTTTAACATCATACTTTCGAAGCACCCATTTCGCCTTCCGATAGCCATCAACAACCATCATGAAGCAGTCCCATGGTTGATTAACGAATCGGACAGCACTAACTTCTTGATAAAGCATACGACGATAATACCCTTGCCAGTCCGGCGGTAATTCCCTTAAACGCCTATATGCCCAATACACAAATGCTTTTGCTGGTGCAACATTATCATGCGCGTACCAAGTAACCCTGTAGGGTGTAGATGATGGTATATTTCGCAAATTTTTCGCTAAAGGTTCTACAGTTTCATCATATTCCGATTTTCCTCGGGCAGTTGAACTTAAACTATTCACACTATTAGCATATTCTTCAGCATTACAGTAGACCGGAGTCATTTCCACAGGCTTCAATGATTCATGTTTCCCAGTATATGTAGACGCACAAAAAAGGGTATTAAGGCTTCGTGTAATTTTGAAACCAAAGAATCGCCTCTTCATTGAATAAAACGTTCGGGTCAGAGAACACAAGTATAAGCCATTAAATAACAATGATAATACAGGTAAGCTCAAAATCTAAAAAATATGCATACTAGTTTTACAGCTTGAAAAAACTTCAACTTTGCTAATTACGTGTTTGTAGATAAAATTGAAAAAAAAACACATAGATACAAATTGACTGTAAAGCTAATCAAACTGCCTACTTCTCACCCAACATTTTTTTCCAATAAAGGGGGAATTGCATAAAGTAAATAAATAATATTTTTGTTTTGCGATATGTATTTTTTACATTTAAATTTAGAACAATAGTATCGTTTTCTTAAAATAAAAAATAAATGTTCAATTAAGATATTTAACAAAAATATATTCACAGCAAAAAAAAAGCAATTCATATATACCGCAGGAAAAAAATACAAATCGAGTAAACAAAAAATGAAGCGGTAAATTTGGACTAGAGTAATACAATATAAACGAATGAACAATTTTACAAGCAAAATTATTTATTAAAAAATAAAAAGTTCTCTTTGCGGTGAACGATTACAAGAGTTAAAGATTTGATAAAATATAAAATTCATTAGTAATGAGATAAAAGTTGTAGAGGCTACCCAAATATCGAAGACAAAGAATTTGTAATATTTTTAAAATGTCATTTTTGTAAATTATTCGTATCAGAATCATAAAATCATGCAACAATTATATTAAAATGTATACAAAAAACGACAACAACCATAAAATATAATATGCGAAACAATAACAAAACGTTCGGCTATATACCTTAATTATTTAAAAAAAAACGTTAAGTATTTTAAATATGATCAGAGCTCTACTAGATACTCTTTAAATGCATACATAAAACGAAAGCTAAACTAAATAACTCGCCTCTGTAAGAGAAAAGGCCTACAGTGGTAAAATCATAAAAATAATTAAAGTCAGGAAGCATAAATGCCTCTTGTCAGCAATAATACTGGCTATAATTAAAGCATAAAAACTAATATTCTTACAGTAAAAAAATCTCATTCCACAAATTATTAGTATAAAAACGTTTAAGACATATTGTCATTACACAATATAGAAGTGCATAACAAGATGCGTCTGGAAATGGTTCAATTCGAGTGACAAATAAATCTGAAGCATTATATAGCCTCAGGCATGAATAAAGAAAACTATCCGCTTTATTAAATGCAGTCCCAATGTATTTAAAAATAAAAAACTTTTGCTATTTCAGCACTAAAACAAAACTACAAGCAGACAAATTTAAAGCGTAAATTACTATAGGGAACTAAAGAAATAGAAAGCAAACACTTCCCACTATTCAAATATTCCTAAGTACTTCAAAAAAAAATAATTATTAATTCATTTTAGATTGAAATAAAATATGTGTGACGCTTTTCTCAGGATATCCCCGAACATCCCTAACAAAAACCACAAAAGATTTCGTCAAAAATACAGAGAAGCCTGGCGCCCAAAGAAAAAAGCAATACAACCAACAAAAAGGCTAAAACGAGACGTAAGGAAAATTCCCGAAGCCTTATCATGGCGCCCCATAAAAATAACACGTTTATCAGAAAGGCATCTCCAATCTTTAAATAATCCCGTCGGGCAGAGAATCATCTTTTCAGCAAGAAGCAGACGCCCAGGGGGGCAGGACAGCTACACCCCTCCCCCCCCCTCCCTCCCCAAATGACAGGTAAAGGAGGACACCTCCTGAAAAGGGTTTGACCTCAGGTAAATTTCCAGGTCGCCCTGGTGGCGCTCAGGCCTGAATTTTTGGGTCTAATGTAAGTTTGCAGGTACTATCCTTCCCTGGCATTCTCACATCCATAATGGAGCTTTTTTCCTTTTTATTTGGGGGCGGGGGGAAATTCATCACTTTGTCTAGCCCTCCGACCCCCTCCCCTCTATCATTCTCAGGTCCCACTGCGCCACTACGCGTCCAGACGTCTTTAATTTTTCCTTTTTTTTTTTAAGGTGGATCGGGGTCTGTGTTTAAGTAAAATTTTTTCTCTGAAAAAAACTAACGGCGGGTAGGTTAGTAATTGTGCAGGAAACAAAATAAAGAAGGCTATGCGCTTTTCTCCCCATCCCACACATTAATTTCTCGTTTTTCTTATGCTTATACTAGACTTTTATTATTTTGAGAAGCTACTTAAAGGTATAACAGTCGAATGAAGTTCCGCTACGCTAGGCATGCTCTTGAAAAACTATGTGAGCAAAAATTTACTCGCCTTTGTTCCATCACATATAAGGCTTCAAGTGATGAAAAAAATCTGAAAAAATGGGAGATGGTTCAAAGGACAACGCGTGATTTATCTTTTGAAGCTTTTAAAAGAACACCTGTTCCTATATCCTGCGATTCAGTCGATATATGTGCTGTTCTTAATAGGCACGATCAAAAATATCTCATTCTTGTTGCGCAATATAGAGCTCCTTTAGATTCTATTGTCCTTGAGTTTCCTGCCGGGCTCATAGATAAGAATGAAACTCCAACGCAAGCAGCCTTACGTGAACTGTTTGAAGAAACTGGATACACTGCAGTAGAAAGCGATATCGTACATGTGTCCCCAGCTATTTGCCTTGATCCTGGGCTGAGTGACACTTGTTGTTGCTTTATACGAATTGAAGTTGATGGAACTCGTTTGGATAATATTTCGCCTAAGCAACACTTGGATGAAGGTGAAGATATCGATGTAATTTTGCTTCCAATAACAGATGCGAAGAATATTTTAAACTCAATAAACGAATTAATCAATGAGAAAAGAACAACGTATGGGAATATGATTCTAGATGGGAGACTATATTCATTTCTAGAAGCGCTATCACATCCCATAATTTAGTTGTTGTTTTTGATATATTTTTTTGGTATTATCGACAATCACATATTTACGCAAATAAATGGTCTGTTATGTGTTTATTTATCGAAAACGACAGAAAATCGCTTCCAAGAACACTTCCTTTTTATTATTATCTTTGTTTAAAAAGAAAGTACTTTTAAATATGTCCATATATATACTTTTTATTTTAGTTGCACTCTCCAAATTTATCTTCATAGAAGCATATGGATATATTCCTGAAACCTATCCCATCAATTGGGAAAATGTTTCCTCTACCCCTTATGACCGAAATTTAAACTCTCCCTATCTAGGTGAGTGTGTATGCGATCAAACGTGGGGATTATGCGACCCCAACTGCTGTTGTGACAAGGATTGCAGCGAACCTATCAAAAAAAGTTTCCCATACTGCCTACCAGAACAGTATGGATATCCTGATATAGAATATTGCTATCATGCTAATGATGCGACTAAGATAATAAGGACTAACATAAATAAAGTAACTCACATTAAACACAAAGATGCATTTGATGCCACTTGTGTAGTACGTGCGAATCACCCTGGCAACCTTTATAGATATTTTAAGGTTCCTTCCGCAGTTGTAGATCCTAATTTGAGTGGTAATGCAGACTGGATTTCAAGCAATCCAGATCCAACCTATAAAATTGGTGAGCCAATGTCACTCTTAAAATTTTCAACTGTAAATGGGATATCTGTATATAGAAAATTAGGCACGGTGCAGGTTCCGATACAGGATAAAAATGGAGCCTGTTCAGTAGTTGGAAAAAATATCGGCTTTCTTGATGCAGTTAATGGAGCTTCATGCTTAATGACTGGTCATGCGATATGCCAAAGATTTCCAGTCTCAAATTTTGCAAACCTTTTTGTTGCACCTTCAGGGGCCGTTTCAGAACCTGAAACAACAAGTACAGGAATTTACGTCCATATTTTTAATGATTCAGGTGCTCAAATTGGGCTTATAGACCCTTACAATACGTTATATGATCCGTCTTTAAATTCACATGAAGATGGGAGGTTCTGCCGTAACGCTGTTGTAAAGGCTGAAACCGTATTTGTTTATGACTCAAATTTTTCAGATAAAATTGCTAGTGTCAATGTAAGTCTATATGTGGGGTCCGTTCAATTGAATAAAATTGTTCCTATGGTATTTCAATCAACTTTTGTCGCATCAAACGAGAATATTCCCGAAAAAATAATCCCCGCACACCCTGGCTATATAGCTGGTGAACCTGTAAGAGCGGGCACATATGTAGCTATTGATGATAAATCTGCGATACTTGAAAGGAAAGGTGGTTTCGCCATTCCAAGTGGTGGGCAGTCGTGTTCGCTTCAAAATTATCGGACAGTGGAATTTATGCATTCTGTGATGAACTCAGGGTGCACTGTGAGTGTTTCCGAGAATGAATTAAAGGAATTATGTAATACGGGCACAAAAAAAATTATACTTGACATGTTAAAAAAATCCAATGGTAAGGATGACGTCCCCCTTATCAATTACATAGCCCAGACATATGATGCCCTGGCTAATAACACTCCCAGTTGGATTCCGATAAAAGGGTTAGATGAATTACCCGACTCGTCTGGTACGTATGACCCTGTTACACGTCAGTGCAGTAGCATAATGGTAGGCATAAAGTATGAACTTGTTGTGGCACGAGCGGGTGTGGAATATAATCCGCAAGATGTTATTGTCGGAGCCTTTGCAAAAGTAATTTATGGTGCATGGATGATACGCAATACGACGAACCTCACTGGTGATGGAACCTCTCTTCAAACAATTCGTTTTCAAGTTCTGTTCTCTCGGCACAATCCTGACTCGCGAGCCACTAATAGACGAAGGGTAGTTCCACCACCTCTTCTGCCAGAATTGAATGATTCGATTTTCTATCCGTTTAGTGATTAGATGCTTTTATTTCAAGAGACGCCTAGACCTAACTAAAAAGGAGTAAATATTTTCTTTGGTGAAAATTCCTTTTTATAGAGAGCGATTATGTGAAAAACAATAACAGAAAGTTCTCACTTATAAAAACAAAACTCAAAAGGGAAGATAATCACTCTTTCCTTGGAATTCAATGTCAATTAAAATCTCATACGAAAGAATATTCTAAATATCCAAAACTTTTGTTCACTATTCATTTTTGTGAGGGTTTTCAATCGTATATAAGGTACATTTTTAGCGCATAATTTCTTTAGCATGCTTTTACGTAGTCGATGCATTTGTCGTGGTGTATTCCACAATGCACCAGCCGTTTACCCATTCACAAAACCGTTCCACGACACACCATATGATCAAGATCGCACTCGTTTTGATTCTACTAAAAACATTGTAAAGCAAAATACTTGGCCTGCTTGGATGGATCATGGTATCGATGGCACGGGCTATGGAATCGGTCTTCATCGCGCTCACCCCTTGTCAAAGCTACGGGGAAATCTAAGCCGCAATCCAAAGGAAGTTCCGCGAGTTTTAGCCATGATGATTCAGGGAGTGTGGCACAAAAGCGGAACAAAATTGTATTTTAGAGGAGGCAAGCCACCAAATCCGAGCAAACATCCCTACCTAACTGGTGAACCGTGTCCAGTATATGGGTGGAAAATAACAGATCCTACGGTAATTCGAGAATTCGATTTCCCATATGTAGAACCAGACAAAATACGCTATAAGCCATATGTGGCTTTACAAGAACGTAAGATTATGGGTAGTGATGTAGCGGATCAAAAAGGGAATCCTTTAACAGCGGTATCACAAGATGACAGTAGCACTAAACCTCTTGCGAAACGCCTATTTTTCTGGAAATAACATGAATTAACGGCATAGAATGCAAAACTCTCGTTCTTTGGTTTACCTCCACACAGAATATCTGCATATCATAATTATTTTCTGGTATTGGTTACAGATTTGCTAAATCGTATATTCATTCCTTTCCATATATGTGTATATTGTCTTTAAGGATTTCTCGTAGAAATTAAAGACTGAATGCAAGATCTTCTGAATGCCATAAATGAGTATGGGATCGGCATAAATTCTTCTAAGCATGCAAAACCTAGTCCTCATCAGGCAGCAAGACAGCTAGTTGGAAGCCTTGTCCTGAAAAATAGATTGAATTTGCTATGCGCATCCGTAGTTGCGAGTTTCATGTGCTCAAGAGACATGCTTGTTGTTGTATCCAAAGATACTGTCGAGTGTATCAGTTGCGATGGAAATGATATGAGGCATGAAGGCTCTGCTTCGAATCTTTCACACTGTGAACTTTCTGCCGTTGTGGCTACGCCATCTAAAGCAATTGTCGCAAGCGAAAACGGCATATGCTGCGTCACACCATCATCCCTAATGATAGAAAAAAATAGCAGTGACTTTTTAACTCGTGAACAACAACATCGTATTTTGTGTGTTGCTGCCACTCCTGATGGTTCGTATTTTGCGACTGGCGGGGGGAATGCCGTCGTCACAGTATGGTCCGACGAGATGAATCCAATACATCTTCTGTTTGGTCACACGGATTGGGTTCGATTTGTAAAGTTTGCTCGAGGATCAAACCCAGCGCTTCAGTTGTTCAGCACCGGTGATGATGGTGTTATCTTCCAATGGGATCCCTTGGCCGGCTCGGCTATTTCTCGCCTAGATTATACGAGAGGCCAAAGTATTCAGGTTTTCGAAGTTAGTTTCAACAGTGGTCTTATTGCAGTGGCCTGTAATACGCCGTTTCTGGCGCTGTATCGATGTCGTTCTGATAACCGTACGAAACGATCGGATGATAATGTGCTTTTGCTGAAAGAATTAGGTATCATATCAGGTGCGCATGACACAACGCCAACGGTGGCAAAGTTTACAGAAGATTCGCAGTGGATTGTCAGTGCTGGTGAAGACGAAGTACTTGCAATTTCATCTGTGGCTGAGCCGAGGAAAATATTTATTTGTCGTGAACTTGTTTCGAAACGCTATTGCACTACCTTTCTGGGAACATTCAACTGCATTTCCATTCTTTCTGCCCCACCACATTCGTCTGTATTTGTTGTGATTGTCTGCGCAAGTAATGGCACGGTCGTTCAATGGGTGTTAGATCCGCGCCGAAGTCGCACCACGTATATTAAAAAACTACAGCTACATTTAGGTGTTTTAATTTCAATGGATTTTATTCACAACAAAATTGCAGTTTGATTCACCGCTTGTAGAGAAAGTGAATATCTCTTATGAGCGTCTGTTTTCACAATCTCATTATTGTTATCATATGTTTAATCAATTCAGGAGAATCGTTGTGATTCCCTACTTTGAATGAGTTTATATTCATGTGAAGCTAATCCATTCGTCTCTATCATTCTTCTTACTCATTTAATTAGCTTAACTTAGGTGTCATTTTTTTTTTTGGAGGGGGGGGGGTAGCTTTGACTTAATGGCATTGGTGGTGACTAGTGAAATCGAACAGGAGGCGCAGCGTATTTTAGTATCCAAGAGTGCATATGAGGTTCTCGAAATTAACCCAAGAGATTTCAACAAAGAGATCGTGCTTAAAAAACATGGAGTCAAAGTTGAAATGTTTAAGCGACTCTTTCGAAATAAGTTGGCCATGCAAGCCAAAGCAAGATTAGACGATGCCAAAATGCGATTGCTGGATGAACGCTTTCGTGCCAAGGAAGATGAAGCGCACACCAATTCTCAACGCGATAAAATAAAGGAAGAAGAGGAAATATATGCTCTAGAAGCAAGAACAAGATTGCTGGAGGTTCAAGCAGCTGAAGTTTAACAAGCGTAAACTCTCTGATTAGTGAGCATATCTTAGTGTATACTATTTATTGATCACTTATTTATTTCTATATATATATATATATATGCATTGTCTTATTTAGTTTATGGATTCGATGTCTACATCAATCCCTCTTATTTCATGATGGATTTTTTCCTGATAAGATTCTCGCTAGTTTTTACTTTTAAAGCATTCTCACATTACATTTATAAATTTTAAAAATGCAGCAGAGTTTGATTCCTGGCCACAACAACAACCGCCACCTGTCGATCGAGGAAATCGAAAACAATATCGGTGGGCTCCCTGTCACTGAGAATCGCATTCAAGAAATCTTCGATGCTTTGGATGAAGGGCATGCGGGCACTGTGTCAGTCGATGTTGTAAAGGATTTCTACTACAGTCTGGAGCATTACGGCCTGGAGCTGAGTGACAAAGAAGTCGATGGGTTTGTGCGCAGATTTGCAAATACCCATAAGGACTCCCTCATATTCGATGAGTTTGCGTGCCTTATTCTTACCCTAGCCCAGTGGTAAATTATTTATTTCCCCCTTGCATTATATGTATGTTTAAAATGATTTTTTATTTTTTAGCTCGATAGGAATATAGTCATTCTATGTATATAATATGGGTGAGGAAGTTCTTTATGTGTTAGGGTGCAAGTCTTCTCGTCCCTTTGCTATATATATTTATGTATTTTTTTATATATCATTTATTTTGTCTATTGAGTTGTATGATCTTTAAGTCGACGATATGAACCCGAAAAAATCAGAATCATTTGTTTAAATAAAAATAACGTCAGAAAGGTTAGAAATGAGCATTTCATTCTTTTCGGGGTTGCTGTCTTATCTAGATGAGAGAAAGTGAGTTCTAAAATTTTCCTATCTTACATCTTTCTTTTACTTTTAAGATTGTGATTTCTATTCAATCCAAGGGAAAAATTAAGTGTAAGACAAAATATTTTCAATTTTGATCGTATTTATCTAAGAAAAAATGCAGAAGAGCTTGATTCCTGGCCACAACAACAACCGCCACCTGTCCACCGAGGAAATTGAAAACAATATCGGTGGGCTCCCTGTCACTGAGAATCGCATTCAAGAAATCTTCGATGAGATGGATGAGGGACATACGGGAACTGTGTCGGTCGATGCTGTGAAAGAATTCTACTGCAGTCTGGAGCATTACGGCCTGGAGCTAAGCGACAAAGAAGTTCATACACTTGTGAGCAAATATTCAAATACCAAGAAGGGCTTCCTTACGTATGATGAATTTGCATGCTTTCTTCTTACTCTGAGTCAATGGTAGTATTTATGTATAAAAGAATGATATGTATGTTCTTCTTATGTTTATTTTAGTCAATGAAAAATTTTATTAAGTGTCATAAGAAAATAATGAATGAGAGAATGCTTTTTTTTTGGAATTAATGCATATGGAGTCATATTCACAAGGTTATTTTTTCTACATCTTCTCTTTTCTTTAACTTTTTATTGTAGCCCATATTTCTAGTACGATTCATGCTTAACTACGATCACAAAGTAGGCACATGAGTTCATTTTCTATCACCCTTTAAGCATCATTCCAATCCTCACTGCACAAATATTCATACTCGCCGTGTGGATCTAAATAGGCACAACACTTTCTGCTCTCACTTTCCATTGAGTACGGACGTCACTTGGTTTCCGTTAAGACTATCGTTATCCAACATTCCATTAATGTCATATTTTTTATATGAGGGAAATTAATTTCGTGATCCTTGTCCTGAAATAATGCTCTCAATTTGTATTTCTTACCTAAAATCTACTCGGTTGTGTCATTCGAAACTGATGGCGGAAGATGTCACGATGCGAAAATCTCTCTATATAGGTTGAGAAAGAAGGCCCGACAGACCTGTCTAATCCAAAGAAATTATAAGCAGTTGGTATTTTAAACTGCTAAACCACGCATTCGATCCCTTGGTAAATAGTACTTTTCTACAAAATCATAGAGGTCTACCCATAAAGAGGCATTAAACGTATTGGCGGGTCGACGACCCAAAGCTCAAATGCAACCCTGTGACAAATAAGTAGTGGTGTGCAAAAAGTTTGCGAATTCAATATATTCGAGGTATTTTTAGGGCCTACGCTCTCTTACGATGTGTTGTGTGACACCATTGCAGAAGAGGGGGAATCCAGACAAATGAGGGGATGCCCCTTCAAAGGGGAGACGGCCCGCACCTGGACTCAGTTGACACAAGTGGTGGGCCCGTGTGGACTGTCACGTAAGGGTCACCTTCACAGGTGCGCGCATGTGATGGGTCAAATTGGTATGTTTCTACTGCTTGTTATAAACTGTGCATTGCATCCTTAGGATGGGAAATGGTATCCAATTGGGCTCATTCACTCTCCCTCCCCCTTTCCTCTCCATCTTCCTTCACGCGGCCGGGTTCGCCTCACGG